GCAGAGACACATGTACAGACCTGTTTGGTCACACTACACACAGCAACCTACATTCGGTTTGTCAATTAAAATGAACGTAATCGATGAAATTCTTAATGATCAATTATCGATTAATCGACTAATCATGCCCATCCCTACTGTAAACAAGCTGCGTAGTGGACCTTTAAGTAGATTTTTTCATGTGATACTTTTACTGGTATAGTTTTTTCTGCAGCATCTGTACTCTAACAGAATCAAGGACTTCTTCCGCCACTGCTGAAAAGTACAATTCCTTTACAAAGTTACTCAAGTAAATGTACGTGAGTCGCAGCTCTGCTTGTGTGACTGCTTTGCCTTGAGGTTGTCACAGATTCAGAGATGCGTTTTTGTGGTTTTCTGATCTACAGTCCCTGACAAAAGTCTTGATGCTTATCCATTTTGTAGAAACAAAAGCTTATAACTTGACTTTAAATTAATCGATTGGTTTTAGAAATGTCTCATATGAAGCTAAAACCCTCCCAAATTATGCTCAATATACTAAAATAAATTTGCTTCACTGAAGAAAGATTGATCATTTAATGAACACAGAAAGGTCAGATTTTGGCAAGACAAAAGTCTTGTCACCTTGTCATATGATGCACCCAATCCTAGATTACAGCCTCACCTGTGATCAGTTACTGATCAATCAATTAGTGTTTGTGTATAAAAAGAACCCCAGCACACCAGACCTTCACATCAACTGCAACTTGACCTCTGACAACATGCCTAAGATCCACCCTGAGACCAAAGCGTTAATTATCAAGAGGCTGAAGACCAGATCCACTGCTGAGGTGGTGACACCTTCAATGTGTCTCAGCGTCAAGTACAAAGAATAAGAAAAAGATCTGAAATGACTGGAGATGTTTTTGACAAGCCCAGGTCCAGCAGACCCCGCAAGACAACTGCTCGGAGGACCGTTTGTTGATTCGAAAAATCCAAGGCCCCTTTTCCACTGCAGCAGACTCCACCAGGCCTGGTCACCTCAAGTCCCTGTGTCAACCACAACAGTTTGTAGAATTCTGTCTCGAAATGGCCTCCATGGTCGAATCAGTGCACAGAAACCAGCACTAAACAAAAGGCAATTAAAAAACCGTGTGGCATTTGCCAAGGCCCACAGCCTGCTAAAAGGATGGACACTGGAAAAGTGGCAGAAGGTGGATTTCTCAGATGAATCCTCGGTTTAATTACATCACAGCCGCCGCAAATATTGCAGGAGACCTACTGGAGCCACATGGATCCAAGATTCACCCAAAAAAACAGTTAAGTTTGGTAGCGGAAAAATCCTGGTCTTGGGTTCCATCCAGTATAGGGGTGTGTGAGACATTTGCAGGGTGGAAGGCAAATATCAATAGCCTAAAATATCAAGAAGTATTAGCTCCTCTTACATTCCCAACCATAAAAGGGGTCAAATTTTGCAGCAGGATGGTGCTCCATCGCATACTTCTATCTCTACATCAAAGTTTGTCAAGGTGAAGAAGATCAAGGTGCTCCAGGACTGGCCAGCCCAGTCACCAGACATGAACATCATTGAGCAGGTCTGGGGTAGAATGAAAGAGGAAGCATGGAAGGCAAAACCAAAGAATCTTGATGAACTCTGGGAGGCATGTAAGACGCTTTCTTTGCTATTCCTGATGACTTCATCAACAAATTGTATGAATCATTGTCGAACTGCATGGATGCGTCCTTCAAGCTCATGGAAGTCATACAAGATATTAAATATGGATCTCACAGCACCACTACTTCATTCACTGATGTTATGCAACATATTTTTGTATTTGAAGTAAATTATTTGTTCAATTTTCTGAAGGCGACAAAACTTTTGTCTTGCCAAAATCTGACCTTTCTGTGTTCATTAAATGATCAATCTTTCTTCAGTGAAGCAAATTTATTTTAGTATATTGAGCATAATTTGGGAGGGTTTTAACTTTCATATGAGACATTTCTAAAACCAATCGATTAATTTAAAGTCAGGTTATAAGCTTTTGTTTCTACAAAATGGATAAGCGACAAGACTTTTGTCAGGGACTGTACACAAAAGAGGATATTGCACTTTGAGATCCCAAACCACAGGTAAAAATACACAGCTGAAACCTGACCTGCAGTACACAGTGTACTATATGTACTGTAATGAATGTATTTTAACGCCTGTACGGTACAAACTTGTCCTGAGGCGTGTGTCCCTGGAGAAACATCAGAGAAAAGAAGTGGTCTGATCTGTCATGGAGTCCTCTGCCTCTCCACAGTTTACGCTTCTTAAATGATTAAATCTATTTATTTATGGGTTTCTAACTATGAGGGATGAAAAACTTGGGCTGTTGCCATAGAAATTCAAAAACAATTCAAAACAAAATAATCCATCATTTGAGCTGGCGGTGCGCGGGGCTCTGCTGTTCAAGAATCTGTTTGATTTAGAGACAAAGACAACTGTAATGTTTTGGTCTTCCTTTTGGTTCATCGTTATTTAGAACTACCTTACACAGTTTAGTCTTGTTTTAGACCTGGTTTAGTTCTAATTTGTGGCCATACCGAAGTGTCGTAGTTTGGTCTTACGGTCTTGGTTTGGTCTCGGACTTGAGCTGAACTTTTGCATGTCGATAACGTCAATGACAATCCAGTGTCCAATGTCGTCCATGTGAGCAGAGGTGGTAGAGCACAGGTGTCAAACATAAGGCCCGGGGGCCAGATCCGGCCCTTCAAGACCTTTAATGTGGCCCTTGGGTGATTTTCTACTAAAATATTTTAAATGTTGAAATTGAATTTTTCTTAAAGTTTCAGGTTGTTCATAATATTATAATATTAAAAAGAAAGAGTTCATCAATTAAAAAATATTTCTGTAATAGATTTGCATTTCTCTGCACAAATATTTGAAGTTATTGCATGAGTTTTCTGATCCAGCCCCTGGGATCAAAGTAGGTTGGCACCAAAATTAAGTATTGGCAGATTGCCCAATACGATACATACCTCAATACATAGGCCATGATACGATACATCTCGATACACTCCACTTTCAGTTTGATATGATATATTTCAAATTGATTCGATACAGTTCAATAAAAATTAAAGACTAAATGATGGCCGTGATACTAAAAGTCTTTGTAAAACCACTTGAGTAAAAACAGAAACATTTTACTCAGTAAAACAGTGAAAATGTCAAATGTGTCACATAAACCAGTTTCCTTTCTCTAAACAAGCAACAAAACTGTAGCACTGTAGTAAAATATATCAAAATATACACATATCAATACAGCAGCCCACGATATCAATACTGTATCATCACATTAAACTAGGGTGACCAGATTTTCAAATTAAAAAACTGGGACACCCCAGTTTGTGGTAGTTGGTAATAATAAAATTATGAATCAAGTGCATAATTAAGGAACATTTATATGCACTGAGCTGTTTTGGTCATTTTTAAGCAGGTTTTCTGTATTTTACCTAAACAAATTAAACTTTGTTTCTTTTTACTGTTGGCAGGAATCAGATTGGCCCAAAATAGAGACACTTGGGCGATTTCTTGTATAAAACGGTAACAAATCATTAGATTTGGATAAATCCGCTGGGACAGGGGACACAGGACTCAGAACTGGGACTATCCCTGGTGAATAGGGACATGTGGTCACCCTACATTAAACAATACAATATATCAATATTTCTGCATACCCATAGTGGTAGAGTAGCCAAAATTGTACTCAAGTGGAAATACAAAGTATTAGACCAATCATGTCCAAACTATGGCCCGTGGTCCAAATGCGGCCCTCAGGCAAATTTTTCTTGACCCTCAGGTTTCCAAGAAAATTGGCCCAAATGACCTTGCATCAATGAAAAATTAACTTCTTATTGCAGGTTTTTGAAAATCTACCTTGAAAGTGAATATTTAATATTAATGTGTGGTTTTAAGGATCTTAGCATGAATAAAGACTGATGGCTCATTCTAAAGTGTTAAACATGCACATATTTCAATTATTCACTGTATTAAGCATCAGTCTACGGCCCTCAATTGACCTTCTGCTTCGTCTGTGTTTAGATTTGTGGCCCTTGATGAAAAAAGTTTGGACACCCCTGTATTAGACCAAGAAATGATTCAAGTAAGTGTAAAAAACTATGAACGCATTTGGTCTCAATCTTGTCTCGATCTTGATGGCGCTTGGTCCCGAACTCGAGGTCTGACACTCGACAAATGTGATCATATTTCATTGTAGCGGGAAATGTGCATAGGCTGTAAAATATCACTGCAAAACAAGTAAGATCGTGTAACTGTGAATGTTATAAACTTGAAAAAAAACACTTGATTCACTTTGACGTTGTTTTCTGTAAAGTGTCAGCGGATTAAAGAAGAGGTTCTCAAACTATGGATCAGGGTCCAAACAAGGGGCACAGAGTGTTAAAATGCAGTACAGTTTGCTTGGCCTATTTTAAGCCTAAATGAACATTAACCAAATCAAATAAAGATAGAATTATAAAAACATTTACATATATGTGCCAAAATAAGTGTAAAATACAAATAAATGTAGGAAACGACAAAGATGGTCTTGATTTGGTCTTGATGGGCCGTGGTCGTCTCGGTCTTGTCTCAGTCTTGACCTTTAAAAGTCTCAGTCTTGTCTCAGTCTCGACTCTCAGAGGTTTTGGTCTTGTCCTGGTCTCAGGTCCATGTGGTCTCGGACTAGTCTTGGTCTCAATTAGTGCGGTCTTGACTACAACAACAGTATCATACCGGCTTGTCAAGGCCTGATCGCGTCAGATCTCAGAAGCTAAGCAAGGCCGGGCCTGGTTAGTACTTGGATGGAAGACTGCTGAGAAAATCAGGTTCCACAGTGGGGCGGTGCCAGTCACAAAAACTTTCGTTGTGTCCTTAAGTAAGGCATTTTACCCACAGTGCCTACTATGAAAGTGGTGTGTGCGTGAGTGAGAATGAAAAGTGATCTGTAAAGCGTCTTTTTGACATGTCTGGAAAAGTGCTATATAAATAAAAACGTACTTACTTTCTTCGTCCTGATATGGTCCGGGTTTAGATCTGGTGGTTCTTGGAAAGCCAAATATCTCCTTTGGTGATACTTTGTGTGAAAAGTTTGGTTTACAACGTACAAAATATCAGCCTGGGCATTAAAAAACGACACGCTTACACTGTTGAAGAGAGTGTGAGTCCTGGTCTTATCTCCAGAGTTCAGAGTTGGGTGTGACTGACAGATAGACTGAACCGTTTTTTGAATAAACTGGACATACACTGTGTAATTGTAATTCAAATTATTACCAAATTTTAGCAGCGCTTAGACCCTGCAACTCACCCCAACCTTAAAGATGCACTTGAAGGTGTAACATTTTGTTTGAAGGCCCATTACCTTCTTGTTGCTATGGATACATCATTACTCTGCCTGGAATGTTCCACAGTGTGACATTAAACAACTCTACCTTACATTTATTCAATTACTGGTGGTTTTATAGCTCAAAAATACCCACAAAACAGACATTCTGACTGTGATCTTGGTCTGGTTTGGTCTCCATGCTGATAGAAAGGTTTAATGCCATACTGTGAAACATTCCAGACAAAGTAATAACATCTCCATGGAGAAAAGCGTTTGACAGAGCCTCCACCAGGGGTCTTTAACCAACAGTTTGATGCCTAAAAAACATTTACACAACTACAGTATTATCCATTTATTAGTGCACAAGGACAGGTAGTGGGATGATACATTTATAATTAGGGTTGTACACAAAAATCACGGTTCAGTATGTACCTCGGTTTTGAGGTCACAGTACGGTTCATTTTCGGTACAGTTTGGGAACAAAATGCAAAACCATTTACTTGTTGTTTATTTGTGTGTTTATTAAACTATTTATTACTTTGATTTAACATGATATAAATGGGAAAATAAAACAAATGCAAAGTGCTGCTTGGTAATAAATTCAAACAACAAATGCATGAAATATTATTAAAAAAAAACTGTAAACCGTAAACAAAGAGAAGAAAGGTGAGAGTGAGGACCGGGACGTGACAACCATAGTTTTATGAGGATTCACATAGTTTGTAGAGACGTAATCAAGGCGGGGGGCAATTGTTGTCAAGGTAGTCGCCCTAACTATAAAGCGCTGTGGGAAACACTGTCACCCCAATCACGGATGAGTTCTTTCGTGAATATTAAAGAGCCGAGCCTCCGTGTAGCTGCACATGTAGTGGTTGAATGTAAACACACACAAATTGCGCAAACTCACTTGTACACAGTCCTGCACCGAACCCAACATCCCGGACTGAAATGGTTCGGCATGAACACATGTACTACTACACCCCTATTTATAATGGTAAAGGACATTTAATTAAATAAAATTTTAGTTATTCAGCTCAATACAAATGATTCATAAACCCCTTGGTGAGTGACTTGGAAGGCCCCTCGCGTTACACATTGCACCTTTAATGTGAGTGTGAAACCAGATCTTACTTTTTTAAAAGAACAGCATCTTTTTCGTATTCGTATTTTTGTATTCATTTTTACACTGACGAATGCAAAACTAACACAAGAATGAGCACAGAACCAGAGTAGACAACACAAGTGAGAACTTTCTGCACAGAAGAACAGATCTGGCATTAAAATCACAGTTACATTTTTGAATCATTATTATTGTAGTGCGACGTTTTATTTAGGTGCTGCATCATTTCAAAGGGTAAACACTCTCCCACTCTCAGTTTGAACCTTTTTAAACAAATCAGAGCCTTGGTTCTTTCTCTCTGTGATAAATTGTAGATAACATGACATGAGTTCTCACATTGGCTCCTGTCATATAAATAAATACAAAAACAGACCGTCTTTTGAACGGCTTTGAAATGAACCGACCCCATTAAAGAGCGGAAAGTCCCATCACTGCGTCGACTCAGCATGGATATCAAACACATCTGATATCGATGTGATTGCAGCTTGTTCACCTGGCGCCCCCTAGAGGCAGCTGTGATACTGCAGGGAACAGAGCACAGAACAGGGACACTTTTGTTCTGAGGGCTGTTACTCTCCTCAAATTGTCCTATCAATCAATCAATCAATCAATCAAACTTTATTTATAAAGCACTTTTCATACAAAAATGTAACACAAAGTGCTTTACACAGATTAAAAACAATCCCACATTTCCACCCTCCCCCCCCCCCATTTCCTGATTTCTATTGTTACCGAATTTATGGCCAGACCTTTAACACTTAAATAAACATCAAAACGGTGTTAAAATACATTTAATTGGTGTTCCTTTATTTGTTTTGAATATAATGAATGAATGTAGCTACATATTTTGATACTGTTGCGCAACTGTTTATATTCTAATGAAATGCCTTAAAGGCAAATAAATTTAAAGGTTCACTGAATTTTGATACATTGAGATGTTATCCGAATGATGACAAATTTATTAATTAATCATGTTATTGCAATTGATGCTGTTGTAAACCACAATTGTGAAAATGTAGTTTGTAGCTTGTATGCTATTTAATATAAAACTGAATGTAATTTGGTTTTTCCTTTTTGACTTTGTGCAGGTCAGGTTTTTTTTGGGTTTTTTTTTTACCGCCCTTTGTGACAACAGCTCAACTTCAGCACCTCAGCCGTGAGTCTGTGATGTCGAGCTGTGAATACCCCACCTTGTGGTAGGAGATCGAACTACATATATATTTTTTTCCTCTATTTCACTGGATCTAAACTTCAAGAAAAACTTAAGAACTCTGAATCTCAGTCAATACGACTAGTGGACTAAACCCCCCAAAAGACAATATACGATCTCACAGGAGTCTCAAATTGAACTGAAGTTGTTTGTTTGTTTTGTTTTGTTTTGATCTGCTCTGTTTATTATGTCATATCTGTCTGATTTATAATACATATATATATATCAGAAGCATAAATAAGTCTATATTATATTGTTGTTGTTTTTATTATTATTCATTCACTTACCCTATGGCTCTTGAGCGAATCTATTTCTGAAAAATGTACTATTGCAGTCAGACCGCCTAGCCAACATACGCGTTACATAAAGGTGCGCTATATAAAATTTTTGTTGGGGATCCGTTGTCGTCTTGTTTCAGTGGAGATGTCATTGCGCCGCTCAGAATGTCCCACAGTGTGACATTAAACAGCTTTACTTTACATTTATTTAATTACAGGCGGTTTTATAGCGCAAAAAAATCCAACAAAAACAGACATTCTGACTGTGAGCGGGGTCGCCTCTCCACAGATCTGACCTGTAACTTGGTCCAGTTTGGTTTCCATGAAGTTAGAAAGGGTTAATGCCATACAAGATCGTGCACACATGAGAAAAATGATCTTGTGAGATTTTTTTTTTTGCCTGTGTCTCCTGTCCCAGCAGATTTATTGTCCCAGTTTTATACAAGAAATGTCCCAGGTGTCCATATTTTTGACCAATCTGATCCCTGCCAACAGTAAACAGACGTAAATTGTCATATGTTTAAGTAAAATACAAAAAAGCTGCATAAAAATGACCAAGCCACAAAGAAAATGTGACTATACTGACTCATGTTTGTCATGTTTCTGCAGAACAGTTTTCCTACGAACGTGTTTTTACCAACCCCTAAATTCTGAACTTCTGGTCACCTTATGGTTACCTCAGACTGATGCACTTTTATTAACCAGAATACTTGGCAAATACAAATTCCTAAATTGGGATAACACAATGAAATATGCAGATTTAATTTTTGTATACAAAGTTTTTAATAATCTTGCTCCACCTCCTTTAAAGGAGTTTGTGAAAAGAAACACAAATCGCACAACAAGAGCAGCTCTAGAGGCGACTGCTCTGTGCCGTTTAGGAAAAGTGCATTTGGACAAACTCTTTTGCTTATTGAGGAGTTCAAACATGGAACACAGAGCTGCTCATGTCCGAGGACTTTCAACACTGGCAGCGTTTTCTAAAGCTTTAAAACATGATGTCCAATGGTCACATATGTTACCATGTTTAACCAGTTTACATTTTCTTTTATTTTTAGGAACATGTGAGACAGACTCTTCTGTGACGCTGTTTAAATCCAGGCTCAAAACATTTCTGTTTAACTGTGCACATGACTGAAAGGTTTTCATTCCGCACTCTTCTCTCCAATTTATGTCTCTCTTTTTTTAATTTTAATCTTCATGATTATTTATGTTTTGATTAGTTTTTATTATGATTTTAATGTATTTCTTATTCTGTAAAGCACTTTGAATTACTTTGTGTAGGAATTGTGCTATACAAATAAACTTGCCTTGCCTTTAGAGGTTGTTGGTTTAACTCTTGGTTTAACTCTTAAACTCTTGACTCTGAAACTTCAAATGAACTGTTTGAAACTAATTGTGTTGTGTGTGTGTGTACAGTGAGTGTGTTGTGTGTACAGTGAGTGTGTTGTGTGTGTGTGTGTGTACAGTGAGTGTGTGTGTGTGTACAGTGAGTGTGTGTGTGTGTACAGTGAGTGTGTTGTGTGTGTGAGTGTGAGTGTGTGCGTGTGTGTACAGTGAGTGTGTTGTGTGTGTGTGTGTATAGTGAGTGTGTTGTGTGTGTGTATAGTGAGTGTGTGGTGGTGTGTGTATATGTGAGTGTGTGTGTGTGTGTACAGTGAGTGTGTTGTGTGTGTGTGTGTGTGTAGTGAGTGTGTTGTGTGTATAGTGAGTGTGTGTGTGTGTATAGTGAGTGTGTTGTGTGTGTGTACAGTGAGTGTGTTGTGTGTGTACAGTGTGTAGTGAGTGTGTTAGTGAGTGTGTGTGTGTGTATAGTGAGTGTGTTGTGTGTATAGTGAGTGTGTGTGTGTGTATAGTGAGTGTGTGTGTGTGTGTGTTGTGAGTGTGTTGTGTGTGTATAGTGAGTGTGTGTTGTGTGTGTACAGTGAGTGTGTTGTGTGTACAGTGAGTGTGTTGTGTGTGTGTATAGTGAGTGTGTTGAGTGTGTGTGTGTACAGTGTGTGTGTGTGTATAGTGAGTGTGTGTGTGTGTACAGTGAGTGTGTTGTGTGTGTATAGTGAGTGTGTGTGTGTGTGTATATAGTGAGTGTGTTGTGTGTGTGTACAGTGAGTGTGTTGTGTGTGTGTATAAGTGAGTGTGTGTGTGTGTACAGTGTGTGTTGTGTGTGTGTGTGTGTGTATAGTGAGTGTGTTGTGTGTGTACAGTGAGTGTGTTGTGTGTGTTGTATAGTGTTGTGTGGTGTGTGT